AGGGGTTTGCTGTTTTTGGGAAAGTTTTTTTAAAAAGAATTTCTCATTTACTTCTATAAGTATGTAAAATGTTAATCCAACCTTGAGGTCCCACTCAAGCCCTGGAGTTCATGATTAGAAAAAGATATGAATCTACATCATATGAGGATGCTTCTACGTCAAAATGACTTATCATACTAAGTTGAGCTGTTTTTGAGAAGAATAATTTTCAAGATTTTTAGCTCACCTGAGCTGAAGGCTCAAGTGAGCTTTTCTGATCACATTTTGTGTGGCGTCTGTCTGTCTAGCTGTCTGTCTTGTAAACTTTTCACATTTTCGACTTCTTCTCTAGAACCACTGGGCCAATTTCAACCAAACTTGCCAAAAAGCATCCTTGGATAAAGGGGATTCAAGTTTATTCAAATGAAGGGCCACACCCTCATTCAAGGGGAGATAATTCAGAAATAGTGAAAATTTGGTGGCATGTTTTAAAAATCTTCTTCTCAAGAACCACTGTGCCAGGAAAGATGAAACTTATGGGAAAACATTTTCAGTTAGTGTAGATTCAAATTTGTTCAAATCATGACCCCCGGGATAGAAATATGTAAGAAAATTCTTTAAAAATCTTCTTCTCAAGAATAACAATGCCATGATTGATCATATTTATATGGAAGTATCCTCAAGTAGTGAAGATTCAAGTTTGTTCAAATCATGACCCCCGAGGGTTGGGCGGGGCCACAATGGCCGATCAAAGTTTTACATAGAAATATATAGAAAATATTTTTAAATCTTCTTCTCCAGAATAGCAAAGGCATGATTGATCATATTTATATGGAAGTATCCTCAGGTAGTGCAGATTCAAGTTTGTCCAAATCATACCCTCTCCCCTTTAAGAAATGGTTGGGAATACTTTTGGGTTTAAACTTTTCAATAATAAACTAATTTCTTTTTTCTTAGCCAAAGTGCTCTGGTGAGCGATGTGACCCATGGGCCTCTTGTTATCTTATACATTTCTAAGACTATTTAAAAATTTGATCCCCCAATGAGACCCTACACTGAGGCTCATAAATTGAACATACTTGAAATTTAGGTACCTCCCCTTGAAAGAGGACATTCTGCTAGATTTGAACAAACTTTAACCCCTTTTTACTGGAAGATGCTTTAAGGCAAGTTTGTGCCCCAGTGGTTCTGGATTAAACAAGTCAAAAATGAGAAAAGCATGGACAGAGGTACTGACAAAATGTGATCACTTGCTCAATTGAACTTTCAGTTCAGGTGAGTTAAACAGTTAACTTGAACCTAGTACTCAGGTGAGCTAAAAAATCAAAACTGATTAGGGGATGCTGAGCTGATGCTCACTCCTCCATGGCACCTAATCCCACCTCTGATGTTTTGGAGGTCCGTGTTTGCTCTGCTCCTATTTTGTATTTTTTATGGACTTTTGATCTTGAATACTGTTTGTTATCTCCATACGTTTTATTTCAGACTCTGCTGCTAATTCACGGTCAACTAACAAAAAAGTGTATCAATTTAATAGACTTTTATTGGTTAGTTTTCAAACAAGAAATGTGTATATAAATAACAATAACTATTATCACAGAGCTTTAACAATTAACATCCATTTCAATTTAATTTGAAACTTAAACAATATATTATCAAAATTTAGAAAAGTCTTTTTAAAAAAGCAGTATCAAGGTTAAATGACTTGCAGACATGTGTAAAACTGTGCATATAAAACTATATTGATTGTCAAATCCCACAAATTCATACAAAGTTTGTTCCTGAACAGGTAAATATATAAGTAAATGTAAAAACAATGAAAAGAAAGTATATATAAGTAAATGTAAAAACAATGAAAAGAAAGTATATATTTTTAAATTTCTTGAACACATTTCATATGAACAAGAAATGCTATACATGTATATTACACGTACAAGAAATCATAACATCAATACTGTGAAATCATTAATTTATTGTGGGGCGTTCATTTTTATTGTTTTTGTGGTATGGGTAATAAGGATATGAATAAATTTTATGTCTTCCATGAAATGTAAAATTTCAAATACTGTGAAATCAATAATTTTAATGGGGGTTTAATTTTTTGGTTTTAAAGGTATGAAGAGACCCACAAACTTATGTCCACCACAAAATGCACTTTTTCACATATATTACTACTGAACAATTCTCAACCACGAAAAACTCAATCCCCATGAACCAACATAATTTTCTTCAAACCACGAAAATTTCACCCCTTGAAAATATGTGATTTTACAGTATACAATAACTCAATATTTCGAGCTTCAACCACATACATGTAATTAAATCCCTAAAAAAGAGAAAAATCTTATACTCAAACCATTAAATCTGAACCAGTGAAAACAGGCGAAATTACAGTATAACAGAACAAGAGGCCCAGGGGCCACAGCGCTCACATGAGCACATTGGCTAGGAAAAAGCACACATCAGATCAGAACTAAAAGTTTACCGAGGTTGGGGGGGGGGGGGGGCTTGAATTTTAACACCCAGGGGATCATGATTTGAACGAACTAGAATCTACATTACCTGAGGATGATTCCATATAAATATTACTAATCATGGCTTTGAAGTACTTGAAAAGATTATAAAGGGTTTCCCTAAATATTTCTATGTAAAACTTTGGTTGGCCATTTTGGCCCCACCCAACCCCGGGGGTCATGATTTGAAAAAAAATTTGAATCTACTCAACCCGAGGATAATTTCACATGAGTTTCATCTTTCCTGTTCCTATGGATCTTGAGAAGATGATTTTTAAAGATTTTTTCCTATATATTCCTAGGTAAAACTTTGACTGGCCATTGTGGCCCCACCCTACTCCCGGGGGTCATGATTTGAACAAACTTGAATCTACACTACCTGAGGATGATTGCACATGAGTTTCATCTTTCCTGGCCCAGTGGTTCTTGAGAAGAAGATTTTTAAAGATTTTTCCTATATATTCCTATGTAAAAATTTGATCAGCCATTTTTCCCCACTCTATCCCCGTGGGTCATGATTTGAACAAACTTGAATCTACACTACCTGAGGATGATTGCACATGAGTTTCATCTTTCCAGGCCCACCGCATCCCGAGAAGAACATTTATTCAACAAGCCAATAATTCTTCTCAAATTCATAATTATCTCCCCTTGGAAAAGGGCGTGGCCCTTCATTTGAACAAAATTTGATCCCCTTTACCCAAGGATACTTTGTAGCAAGTTTGGTTGAAATTGGTCCAGTACCCCGTCTTAGTTTTGTCCTTTCACACTTGCAAACAATTTTGGCCCGTTGTAAATTCCACCTGTCATAGTTTTGTTTATTTAAGAAATTAAACTGTATTCTTTTAATTCGCCTTGTTTTAAATTCGCCCAATTGAAAGTAGGGCGAAAGGGGCAAAAATTTCCCTGTATACAGTAAACATACTAGAATACAGATTTATAAAAATCTAAAGATAACAAACATGTGTACATAATTTGGCATATTCAAAATTATACACTGAGTATGGATCGAGTTGTTGGTGTAATCATGAATAAGCGTTACACCTGTCCGCTCAGTTTATTGTATATATAAATGATTTTTTAGCAGTATTCATTAATTAGCGCATCGTTTTCCAAGTCAAAACTGCTAAAATATGAAGACCACTTTTTAGTACTGTAGTATGGAAATTAGGAGGAGAAAACACATGGCTGGACCAGGAATTGAACCCGGGACCCCTGTATTTCTAGTCAGGTGCTCTAACCACTGAGCTATCCAGGCCGATGTCCTCAGTCCAGCCTAATTCCACAGTACACATACAGTATTTTTAGCTCATGGTTTATGGACGACATAATCACCCATTGCCTTTTGCAAATTATTATGTGCTCAATGTTGATTATGATGACCTTAAGAATTATCAAAAGTAGATCATGGTCACATGTTCCAAAAATATAAATATGTAATTAACTATGTATACATTATGTGTGGGAGGGTGTGTAAGTGTATGAGGAGTGTGGAAACAACAGCTAACTGCAATGTGCTGAGATCTTTTTTTTTCTTGAGATTGGGAGCGGCGGTCAGGGTTTTTATAAGATTATGAAGGCTACACATTGTAATTGTGAACTCTAAGATCCCATAAAACATACCATACATCCATAATAAATTATTTGTTCTTTCACTCCAGTCCACTCTTTATACACTTTGTCATATTTAATTCATTTTGCATTATTATGTACTTGTGTAAAATAGTTAGATATCTATAGTTATGATTGCCTCTAATTTGTGACTCTATAAATACATTAATTTTAAATCAATACACGTACTGTAAATAGATAAAAAATAATTTCTTTTTTTAAAGAAAGCAGTTCAATTCTTCAATGCATATTAAAAGTATCGGGTGCTTGAATAACCTCATTTAAAAATCACAGAAAATCCAATATTTGGCACAATAACCCTGGCACTCTTCAATTACTGCAAACAACAAATATCTGAGGATCTTGAGGGGAAGCCTTTCTTCTTGCATGACACTTGTACCTGTACACTGCTCTCTGTTCGCTGGTCAGAGCACCTAGGTGCACTGGTTATTCTCTGGTCAGAGCACCTTGGGATACTGGTTAGTCTTCTCTGTATCTCTTTTGGAAGAGCCAGAAATCGGGTTTGGTTTATAATGCTGTCCCTGTTACTCTGCATGAAATGCCAGGCAAATTTGTTAATGGATTCTGAAAAAAAAAATGTTGAGAATATTCATTTGTGGCTTTAAGATTTTATTTTTGTCATGTTGAGGCACAATTAAAAAGAAGCAAAGAGGGAAATCTGGGTTAGAAAGACAAAGGGTACAAATATGCATGAAAAGAATGCTAAAAGAGGTATACAAAAATAAAAGCACATTGCAAAAAGTATTATGAAGCATGCCGAGAGAGGTATACTGTGTACAGGGAAATTTCACTCTCAGTCTCACCCCTTTCTACATCTCCTATATCTAAACTTATTTGCAACTAAGCAACCTTTTATCAACTTTATGAACTTAATGCCTTATTTGAAGCATTAATCTATGACTTGACCATATAAGAGTCTTACCTTGTCATATTCCCCATATCTAAATAAATTTTTAATATTTACATATAAATGCTGAGATTGTTTGATTCCTTCCTTGCTAACAATCATGGATTAGACAACAGTTTTATTTAATCAAACAATCTTGAGCAAAAATACAGGGTTATTTTTGCCCTTTCACATTTGCTGACAATTTTGCCCCATTTTAAATCTGCCCAGTCATAGTTTTACTTAAGAAATTATACTGTATTCCTTGAATTTGCCCCATTTTAAATTGGTCTAATGAGAGTAGGGCAAAAGGGGGAAAAATAAAACGGGGGCAAAAATTTCCCTGTATACAGCTGTAGGAGCAAAAATATGCAATATACCACATCTAGTTCTTTGCCTCATTTTAAATTCGCCTAATCAAAGTTTTGTTCAAGAAATTATACTGTATTCTTTGAATTCGCCCCTTCGGGCAAAAGAGTAAAAAATAAAACAAGGGCGAAAATTTCCCTGTATATAGTATATTATTCTTTATTTATACATGTAGTTGTTACTGTTATTATCAAATAATATAACAGGTAAATGAATGTCAAATTATATAGGGTGTCAATCACCTCTTAGCAAACTGTGCTCAAACTCACCTTAATTAAAATGAAGATTTTCCATTAATGCAGTGCAGAATTCAAGAGAACTATTTTTTCCTGTGTATGTAACAAGTAGAAATAGTGAACTCTTTGCAGTAAAAGGGATTGAAAGCTATATGATCGTATTTTAAGTAACGGTAAATTGTTCTTACCGAGTCCTGGTTGTTGATAGGACTCTAGAAATGCCTCCAATACGTCAGATGAAGAGAAAGAATTCACCAAAAGGATCTTCCTCTCACACAGGGCTTTCAGTCCGGGCAAACCAAACTGTATGGCCGCTGAAAACGTATCACAGCTCAATTAACACTCTACACTATTGTAGGGACACATACTTTCATTATGTAATTTTTAATAAAAAGTTGACACCTTGAGCAGTTCTGACAATGCACATGACGCTGACTTCTACAGGAAGATTGGTGACATAGATAACATCAGGGAGTTCCTCCGTATACAGGAAATGCAGGATGACCCCAAATATATGTGTGACAGTGTTCAGAACAAGTGTACCCTACAAATAAATCACTGAATAAATCAATTGGCACAGCCTATGAAAACTGGTTGCAGTAAACCTAGTTACAATAAGAACAGGCTTTTAATAAGTTTTTTTAAAAGCTTTTTTGAACAAGCAACAAAATGAATTAGAGCACATTACTTCAGAAGAAATCTGAGTTTCTAACAATTACACACTATGTAAATCATAAAATTTCTTTTCAACTAATACATGTATTAAAAGATGTTCCAGTGAGAATGAAGGATAACACATGTAAAAATAAATTATTTTCTTTTTTTGTGCGACTTACTCCAGAAAAAAATGCTGGTTTGGTTTCTTGGGGATATATAGGGGGTAGACTTCTAATCTGACCAGAATTCTCTCCCCCATACAGCTGGTCTGAAGTGGGTAAAGCTTAGCTGTTAGGGGTTGGGGGACCAAATAAACTGTCATATGAAGGAAGGGCATCATCATCTATGGGTGGGGCTGTTGGCACTACAGGTTCTCTGATTGGGGGGTGTATTTGCTTCTCCAGTGGAGCCTGAAATAAAAGTTATGCCAGCATGAAAATTAAGTTAGACCATTTACAGATATCTTATTTATTTTTTTAATGGATTTTCCTGTTGTTTATTTCATGAGCTAACTATAAACGCTCAGAATATTCAATGATTGAGAGTTAATAACAAACGTATGAAAATTTTCCAGTTGTTTTAGTTCCAATACTGTAAACCAATTTTTTTTTGCGAGTGAGAAATATCCCTAAGTTTTGCAACCTTCTTTTTTCACAATATTTCCATTGTCGGAACCCATAGGTTTTCTCTTCGTTACACTACATTTAGTGCAATGTAGAGAAAACCCCTGGGTTCCATGAACGTTCATCTACATGTATTTAAGGAATATTTCGAATTCATGAAGTGATCAATGAACCATTTGTTCATCCCATTGACATGTTCATGAATTTGAAAAATATAATTTTTTATATTTACATGCTTTGATTCCGCGTGCCGGGCTCCAAGCCTGCTTCTCTCTAGGTGTTGTCCCGCCCTACACGTGTTTTTTTTGGAACCGCGCCAACACATTCATGAGGAAATCAATTACATTTACAATTGGTAATTTTATCTCGGACAAAGACATTGGAAATGTAAATATATTTTTGTGAAATGTTGCCTCAGTCACCAACATTAGTAATCGCAGTTGGATTCCAAACTGACGTTTTGTCAATAATAATTGATTTACAGTATTTAAATAATTTTAGTTTTATATGGACTTGGTATTGAATATAGTCAAAATTCTTACAATTGGAGGAATATGTCCATCTACAAAAACGGACTTAAAGAAGATGTTCCTATTATGGCCTTGTGTCCAGAATGAAGACCATCCACGATGATCTCAACGTCACTGAACATCTTGTTGTTGACCAGTGTTGACAAGCAGGAGGCCAGGAAGGAACTCTATCAAAAAAGTGCATTGAGTAATTCAACATGTATGAATGCTACAAATGTCAGAGATTTACATAACTAAATTAAAATTTCTTGTAAGTGTAATTCATTAAATCCATTAAGATCGGACACAATATACTTCAATAAATATATTTCAAAGTCAGGGAAATGAAAATGAATTTGTTGAAAGCATTAATTGATTATTAACAAGTTAGTTCATTATTAGCGTGTTTTACTGTTTTAAAAAAGAAGAGACTGAGCTTTAATTTTCTTACTTGGCATTGATGTTCCTTTTATATTAATGGCATCAAGTTCCACCCAGGATCCACTCACTGTACAGTCAATTTCTACTCTGAGCTCATCCACTGGAAATTCGGGGGGCTGTATAACAAAGTCAACAGTTTTTAACAGTGAATGCCACATAAAATTTTTTACAGCATTTCATAAAGACAGCAGATACTGTCAAAAAGGTAACAATATGAATATCTTTCATGTGCAAGCAAGACCATTATGCTTGCAATTTTATTTCAAAAATATTACTTAACGGCCCTTCACTCTCAAAATTAATTGTTTACAAATTGAGATTTATTTGAATATGACATATCAGATAAGAATCTAAGAATCTTTTTTGATAATATTGAAATTACAGTAATTGTCTCCCTTTTCATCTCTGATGCCCTTAAACCATTGTAGATTCCTAGATATATGTGTGGGATTATTATCGCATAATTTTGTGAGAGGCACCACTTACTAACTTTTATTTTCATGATGCTGAAATCAATGTAAAATCTCTGGAGCAACTGTCCAAAATTATTGTCAAAGAGCCATTTCGTGATAATAAGTACACACAAAAATAAGGAATCTACAGTAATTTAGGGCATGTAAAATACATGTATTTACATTAAACTGTGGAGAAAAAATTCGACTGGATTGTAAATTCTGGCAGCGATTTGTTTGGTACAGCATGACCCAGTTTCCTGCCAGGTCTTTGGCTGAGACTCTCTTGACGCCTCCTGCATGATAAGTCTCGTATATGTTGATTTCATTCAGGTACAACTTCTCCTCAAACTTCACCTGTAAGAGAAGCAAAACAACTACCGGTAGTTGTTTATAAAAATATAAATGACAAGGCAATGGTTTAAATTATAATGCTAAATGTATTTTGTAAATGAGTGGTGCTGATGTGACTCTATACAGTGAACGAGGAATGTCTTATTAATTCTATTAGGCCTATTCACAGTGAAACTTAGCTAATCTGGATGTTGTGTATCCTAAACCTTGTCTAATACAATGCAAATTTCAAGCTCTTTCATTGATTTCAATTCTAAAATGTCATCTTAATTCAGAATTTTGTCTAATACAGGAACCAGTGGTGTTCAGATTAGACAAGTTTTACGTACCTCTATAAACTGGTGGGCGTCTTTTGTAGACGTGGCCCATGCTCCTGGGACGTCTCCATAGGTGGGATACACTCTGGGTTCTCCCACAACCATCCTGGCTGACCATCTGTGCAGAAAACATGGAGAAGGAACAAAATATAAGATATTCTAAAACTGATGATAGATGAAAAATGCCTTTAAAGTTTGGACAAAGAAAATTACCTTAAAAGAATTACTCAACCTTTAGAGACAAGATGTGTTAAACACTTATTCTCCCCTGTAACGGCTCATGGTCAACGTTAAAGACTTTTCAAAGAAGAATATGCATACAAAATATGAAAGCCTTAGCACTAACCATTTAGAAGTTATGGCTAAGGTTATAGATTTTTGCCGACAGACAGACTCAGACCAAAAACGAAACATGCCCCCCAAATCTTTTACTATGGGTGCATAAATATTTCAATTAAATAACAAGAGGATTACTATTTATCTCTGTCAATTCTTACCCTTCTTTTTATACCCCCCCCCCACTTGAAAAGCAGGAGGGTATATATTGTAATCGGTATGTCCTCCGTCCGTCTAGCTGTGCATCCATCCATCTGTCTGTTATGCTTTGGGATACCCATATTTTATTCGCAACTCCTCTCATACCACTGAATGAAATTTGATGAAACTTTCATAGAAACTTTATTACATATTGCCAATGTGCACCTCCTATTTCACTTTTTGATCCGACACATAATTTGGGTTTCCAACAGCAAAACATGGACACTGCCATTATATTCATATGGGAAGCGGGTGGGGGGTGGGGGTTCATTTAGTGAGCTCATTGCTCACAGTACTTATAGTTTTTTCAAACTCACCCTGAGCTGTTGTACTGAGTGGAGTAGTTGGTGATTTCTGCCACCCACAGGGTTTTCAGTAGGGGCTCTCTTGTTTGGTTCTGTGTTGAGCTGCTTGTACCTATCATAATATACAATGATACATCTAGCTGGTAAAAAAGACAAATCTTTTGTGCATAACTTACATGTTGACTATTGAAGAGTTAATTTGGTCAGATAATTTTTTGTGCACAACTTAAGTTATTGATGATTTAATTTGGTCAAAAAAGTGCATTGAAAATTTAATGTTGAATATGTTGAAATCAAAATCTTTATATTTTAATCAGAGATTTTCTTTGACAGAAATATACAATATCTGATAAGTTTCCAGTATATAACAATCTGTATATATACCTGTTCCTTGCTTGGTCCCCACCAACTGCACGGCATAGACTTCTCCATCTAGGGCCACCAGAACAGTCTATTTCTATCCTTAACTTGTTGGTCTCAAAACTGTTATTCTAAAAATGAATGGAAATAACACAAGTATGTTTTCATTATTTTGATCAATTTTAATAGTTGAACATAACATAACACTTTTGGCTTTTCAACAAATTGTCTTTGAATAATTAAGATTAATTAATAGCCATTCTCTGTAACCACTTAAACTTCTTAATCCAGCAGATGTTAATTCTACAAGAAATATTTGTAACTTCATGCGTGATGCATGTAATATAAGAAAATCTATGTGACTATATATTTTATATTTGTTTACTGTATGTATGACTTGCGCCACATGTGGTTTTTGTCAAATTGAATAAATAAATAAAATAAACTTCGTTGCCACGCATGGTCACCGATTTTGATGAAACTTCACCTATGCTTAGTACTTGACACCAGAAACAAATATCAAACAAAATTTCGTAGCTATGTGTCTCGGTTGCTATGGCAACAGCCGGAAAAGTTTGAAAAATGGAGATTTTCAGCCACTTTAAATCTTGACTGTGGCTTAATAAAAACTAGAAAAAGCAAACAAGCCATTCTCACAAAAGCATGACACCTTGATGTCACTTATACTGTAAAGAAACTGTTTATAATATATCTCTAAGTAAGTGGTAACCAAGGGTACATTTGGAATACATTTAAAATGCTGAAATATGCTGAAAAACACTCCGTATTCACTAATGGTAGGTGTTACATGCTCAAACTCAATCAACGACTTAAGAAAAACAATGAAAATGTTTGACCTTCAGTATATAAGTATAAGCAATATTATTCTATAAAAAACTTTTATGGTTGCTATAGTAACACAGCGTAACCATGCAAAACCAGTAACTAAGATTGGGTTAATGATACTGTCTTGAGGAAAAACATGAAAATTCAAGACTGGCAAATATGCATCCTTAGGACCTTGCAACACCAAAACCATAAGAAAAATTGGGTATAATTGCTACTTTGCAGTGTTACCATGGAAACAAAGTACCAGTGCTTAAAAGTGAATTGTTTTTCGCTGCATTAAGAATTAAATTGCCATTTAATCAAGAAAAAAATTAAAGGACTGAGCTTGAATAGTACTTACCTGTTAGAACTGAAGTTGAATATCATATATTGATAAAATTTGATGAAGAAAACAACACTGTTGCTATGGTTACCAAGAAGGGAAAATGTTCGATTTGTTAACTTTATATCAATATTAAACCCTGTGTGCCAACTTCTTGCATCCACTTAGAGATTGGATGATAGTCAAAATTAAAAGTCAGGCTAGCTGTTGATAAATATCAATCATAAAAATTTAGGGAATCTACATTTAAGGGTATGTATCCAAGGAAAGAAAATATTTTTCAGGTTTTTAAGCATATATTTTCTGCTTATTTCCATAGCAACACTCTATTTAAAGAATCTAATCTGAATTTTTTCAAATGGAAAAACTTGGAGCACACCAACATCTTATAACATTGATCATAAGTTATGAGGAAATGTGCTTTTTTTTAAAAGATAGGATCAGATTTAAACATACAGAGTGTTACTTTGAAGGCTCTCTGTGGTATAAAAACCTTGGCAACCGTTGCCAACCAAAATGAAAAATCATATTTTGTTCTTGGTAGATGTTTCAAGGCTCTTTTTTCTATTATTTGGTTACATTTCATCCTATAATTACTTTTTATTTTTACGTGTATGACTTTATAAAATTCAATGAATATTTTTTTTACTTTTGAATACTTTGTTACCATAGTAACGTATGTAATAGTTGATTTACCAAACATGTTTATCATGCATTTTAGACATCTGGCCTTCAACTTTTGGAAACAGTCATTGCCATTTGTTTGCTTTGCTGCAATTGTTAACTATGGGGCTCTAAACATTTTAAAAAATGCCATTTTTCGTACTTTAAGACATGTTGCCATGGTAACTATAAAATATAGCAACCAATTTTTGCCTGATTTCAGTTAAGGGTATCAATGACTTTTATCATAGAGAGTTTGGAGAAATTCTGAGACTATGTGTGCCACAGCTCCTATATAAAATTTCAAATCATTACAGAGAATGGCTCTTAATATGAGTACACTTTAATCTTAAAAAAAAACATAAGATGCTTGCATCTCAACTTGACAATATATTTTGATAACATATCATACAGATTATTATAAATATTTTCTATTTAAGCTTAGGAACCATTATTATGTTGTTATCCCTGGGACCACAGTTAGAATAAACTTTTATTAAAGAATAATGGTTGTTCGGAAATCATTTTGGCATTTTAAACTTAAAAGCGGGTTTTTCTCTGTAACCTTCTGATATGCACAATTTAGTCTTATTTTTATATTTACCATCGAAATTTGTATGAATTTACATGGTAATATACCTTCAAACAGCTTTTTTTTTATTTATTGTAAAAATATTAAAGACTTTTTCTAAACTCTTCTAAAAAATCTGTTTTCAGATTGAATTGATGCAAGTTAGCTGAAAATTCACATATACCTTTAACACGGGAGAAAATATGCGACTGATTTCTATCATCTCAACTCTGTTTGTTTCATATAAGGTGACCCAGCTATTTTGGGGGTTCTTGGCCTGGATTCTTTTGACTCCACCTGCATGGTATGTCTCATAAATGTTGATTGCGGATGGTGTTACTTTTTTCTTTAAATTCCAACCTACAATAAATACACACATGTACAACACCAGAAATTTAAATGGACTCAATGATATAAGATGTTTTAAATTTTAAGCCATAATATTGGACATTTTGGAACATAAATTTAAAGAATAATTTTTTTCAACAAAGAATGAGTTGCTTTGCCTCCCCTTTTTTACCTCCACAAACTGAATGCCAAAGTCTGCACTGGCCCAGGAACCCTGCATGTCTCCATACTCAGGATATACCTTTGGATTTCCAAGAACCTGGTTAGCTGCCCAGCTATTAATGGAAACAATTCACCCAAT